CCTGACATGTTGATGCATGAGGTTTTCAAGTACCACATCCATCATCTTGGCTCTCCATGTTTCGGGACCCCCATGTGGCTCCAGGTTTTCCCAGTCGATCTCCCTGTGGTTGAAATCGCCCATTAGTGTATGTGTGTGTGTGTGTGTGTGTGAGAGAGAGATAACAGGACCTGTCATCTCCATGAATCTAGTAACAATGAGAATACTATACTTTTATATAATTTTATTGCAAGTTTCTTTTGAGTTTTATGTCAGCTGTGGATTTATGTTACTGGAAGTTAAACCTTGTTCTCAAAATTTTCTATGAGTTTATAGCAAAATATATGTTGTAGAACAACCCATAAAAAAATGGCAAAAAATTTAGTGTTACGGTCTAAAATTTCTGGGGGGTTCACTTGTTCATGTGTCTGCATTTAGTTTGTTATGTATCACAAAACTGTTCACATGATGAAGCATTTTGCTGTTCCATTAAAACTAACACTTAAGACTGAGAATAAAGAAAAGTTACTTATATTTACTACTGGTTTCCCAAGGCTTTTAATGTAGTGGTACAGTAGGTTAGGTTAGGTAAGGTTTGTCAGAAAACAGGACAAGTCATATTATGACCCGCATCTGGAGGTTTTGGTCGTCTGACCGAAGACTTCCACTAGCTTATTGGTCCACCCTTATAAAAATTATAGTTATTACCATAACCATTTTTTACAATAGTATAGTAGATCATAGTTTTCTTGCCAGGTAAATACTGCCAAGAGTAATGTGATAACTTCCAAAGGTGAAAGCATGAGATGGTTGAGTTTGCTCTGCTCTGTAAAATAACTGACACTTTATGATTGTGAGGTTGAAATCTATCTTTCAACACACCAGCTGTATCCCACCAAGGTGGGGGTGGCCCAAAAGGAAAAACGAAAGTTTCTCCTTTTACATTTAGTAATATATACAGGAGAAGGGGCTACTAGCCCCTTGCTCCCAGCATTTTAGTCGCCTCTTACAACACGCATGGCTTACGGAGGAAGAATTCTGTTCCACTTCCCCATGGATATAAGAGGAAGTAAGCAACAACAAGAACTAGTAAGAAAATGGAAGAAAACCCAGAGGGGTGTGTATATATATGCTTGTACATACATGTGTAGTGTGACCTAAGTGTAAGTAGAAGTAGCAAGATGTATCTGAAATCTTGCATGTTTATGGGACAGAAAAAAAGGACACCAGCAATCCTACCATGATGTAAAACAATTACAGGCTTTTGTTTTACACTCACTTGGCAGGACAGTAGTACCTCCCTGGGTGGTTGCTGATTACCAGCCTACTACATAGAGAGGTTAAAATAAATGGTAAAATATTTGGAATTGTCAAGGATTTTAATTAATGACGACTTAATCCTCCACTTGACCTTGGCTCCAACTCCAACATTATATACGTGCAGTGAAACCACTGAATGGGTGTGGTTTGAATGATTCCATGGCAAGTGAATCATGAAACGTTCAGGCCAGTGGTTTTGACTCGTTATTGTACCAGTTTGGCCCATGCAATAGCTACTGGCTGGATTTTTTACGACTCACTTTGCCATAGGGTTCAAAAAATCAGTCACATTCCATAGTTATTGCATCATATTATTTATTTATTTAATTTATTTAGGAATCTTAGCATACATTCAGATTGTAAACAGAAATATACAGGTAAAGAGCAGCATGTCCAAAGCCACGTCATATGCATGCATTACGGCTGGCTTAATTAACTTAAGATTAATAGCATGTATATGATTAAAAAATAACAGTGATTAAGGACCTAGTTGTAACATGATAACTAATAGACATTATGAGTATTACAAAGACAGGTTCATATCGTTGCATTGATTTGGCTTTATTCAGTAGAATAGAGTATCTGTTTAGGTAGTGTATTTTATAAAAATTACAAAGTTAGATTTGGGCCTAGTTTATCATTTATGTGATAAATTGTGGATTAACATTTAGCAAGATAACAATAAATCAGGTCAGTGATTCTAGTTATTTCATTGGGTTTGACGTGAGTAAGGAAACTTTGAGACAGAGGTACTTGATTTATAAACAGACAGTAGTGTTTAACTTTTATTTTTACACCGGTAATGAATTCCAGCATTGTTAGGGGGCTTTATGTGCATTGATTTCGGCATAGCGTGAGATGGACACGAGGAACATCAAAGAGTGATCTGTGCCTTGTGTTATGGTCATGTGTTCTGTTGAGGTTGGCAAGGAGATGTTTGAGGGGAGGGTTAATATCAGAGTTAAGTGTTCTATGTATGTAATAGGTGCAATAAAAAGTATGGATGTTTTGTATGGTGAGTAGGTTGAGTGTTTTGAATATTGGTGGAGTGTGTTGCCTGTAGTGAGAATTTGTTATTCTAACTGCAGCCTTTTGTTGGGTAATTAGTGGTCTGAGATGGTTAATTGTTGTTGAGCCCCATGCACAAATTCCATAGGTGAGATAGGGGTAAATAAGAGAGTGATAAAGGGCCAGGAGGGCTGACTGTGGAACATAGTACCGTATCTTCGATAGTATGCCTACAGTCTTGGAAATTTTCTTAGAAATTTGTTGTATATGTGTATGAAATTTGAGTCTATTATCGAGGTGGATTCCTAAGAATTTTCCCTCTGTTAGCTTTGTGATAGGTGATCCGTTTATCGTTATGTTAAGAGGTACATCTGTAGCTCTGTTACCAAACTGAATGAAGTAGGTTTTGTCAATGTTTAGTGTAAGTTTGTTAGTCCTCATCCAGGTAGATATTTTCTGTAATTCGGTGTTTACAGTATTGGCTAGCGTGACTGGGCTCGGGTGAGAGAAGACGTATGTAGTGTCATCTGCAAAAAGTGTGGGTTTGAGTAATTGCGAAGCATTTGGTAGGTCATTTATGTATAGGAGAAAGAGAAGAGGGCCAAGGACACTTCCCTGTGGGACACAACTGTAATTGGTTGTGGGAAGAGCTTGCCCCATTTGCGTACACATATTGGCTTCTGTTGCTGGGTGAAGACTTGAGGTAGTTGAGGGAGTGCCCTCTAATACCATAGTGTGACAATTTTACGTGGAGCAAGTCATGGTCAACTGTATCAAAAGCTTTACGTAAGTCAATGAAGATCCCCAGTGGGACTTCTTTTTTCTCTATTGTAGTGTATATATGTTCTAGCATGTGTATAATAGCATCATTAGTATTTTTATTAGGCCTGAATCCAAATTGGCAGGGGTTGAGAATGTTTTGGGAGATGAGGTAGGAGTAGATTCGTTTATGAATTAATTTTTCGAAGATTTTTGAGAGAGGGTGTAAATTGGATATTGGCCTATAGTTATTCAACTCTGTTTGGTCTCCTCCTTTATGGATCGGGGTGACCCTTGCTATTTTGAGAACTGTAGGGAAGGTGGAGGATTCAATGGATTTGTTAAAGAGTGTTGCAATGATTGGTGATAGTACTTGTGATGCTTTTTTGTATATAAAGGGTGGTAAGGTATTTAAATCTCCTGCCTTGTTTTTCAGTGCGTTGATAATAAGGGAGACTTCGTATGGGTTAGTCGGAGCTAGGAACAGTGTGTTCGGGTAGTTGCCAGTGAGGTAGTCATTTGGTGGGGTATCTAAGCTTGGGATTTTATTGGCAAGGTTTTGACCTATAGTGGAGAAGAAATCATTGAGTCTGTTTGCTGTTTCTGTTGGTGGGAGTTGGGGTTCATCTGATTTTGCTAATTTTATTTCGCTATGTCGTGATATCTTTTTTGTTCCCAGAATTTCTGATAGGGTCTTCCAGGTCTTTTTTATATCACCTCGTAAGTTGGATAATCTGTTCTCATGATACAATTTTTTTGCCCTTCTTATCAGGCTGGTTAGGATTGACGAGTAACGCTTTGTTTGGTCTCTGGTTATGTGACCCATTCTGTACTGTTTTTCATATCGGTGTTTTGTATTTATGGATTTGAGAATGCTGGGTGTTAGCCAGGGACTGTTCAGTCTCTTAGCTGTCATCTGTTTAGTTTTTTTAGGGCAGCGCTTGTTATAAAGGTATTGGGTCTTTTTTAGAAAATTATTAAAACATTCATCAATATCTGTATAGATTTCTAGCTCAGTGTGCCAGTCAATGTTTGTTACTGCTGTTGTGAAGTTATTAATGGCTGCCTCATTGTGAGTCATTATATACATCGTGAGTCATTATATACATACAGTACATTAAATTCATCAGTATCCAAGTGTGATACTTTTGATAAACACATCTTCTCTACTTTCTTAACAACTGTATCAAAATATACCTGCTACATTAATTACCAAGTTATGTAATAGGCAAAAACTGAGCTTCGTTAGAATTGAATTTGAGCCAGTTGCCAGTGCCTTTATTTCTATTTTTAATAGTTGACATCATTACTGGTACTCACCACCACTTGCGCTAACTAAAATTCTATTGCATTTTTGCACAAAGCCACACTGCATCATGCTGATCTATATATGATGAGTGTTACATGTACAGACAACTCTTTTCTAAGTATTAAAAAAAATTTACTGTAAGTTACAGAATTTGCAGATAAATGTAGTCAGATACATTTATACCTGATCCATTTTTTCAGTAAGTTTAATATTTCACTAAATGCTGCCCCTGTGACATTCTCAGATTTTGGAATCAACACCTAATATTTGGAGGGATTACATAAACAGGTGTGGTAACTGTAAACAGTAGTACCGTAGCTACTGTCTAATAACAGGATTTATGGTTGTTCCTATCAAGTTGTGTTTTTACATGTCTAAAACTCCAGTATTTTACTATATTACTGTAATGTAATAAATAGTTTTTTATAATTAATGGTACGGTTATAATGCGAGTTACTGATTTAATCTGCTTCTTTTCTAATAAGAATAGAGGCATAGGAATGTTCAAATTATTTATGATTTTTTTTTAGAGAACAACATTTATGCTTTAATATATACATGTACATGTACAGAGCTAATATTTTTTTTCCTTTTTTTTTTTTTTTTTTTTTTTTTGTTTTACCAGACAGCGGACCATAAGTCAGTCATCTCCAGTCCACAACTTCATCTTCCCAGGAGTTGCAGCATCTCCACCCAAGTTTATGTCCCTAGAAGAGGTGATGAAGGCTGCCAAAGGAGTCAGTAACATGGTTCTTGCTCATGAGATTGCTGTGGACAAGAACTTCAAATTGGAGAAGTTTGATCCCCCTGACAACAGTGTTGAGAAGCAGGTCCTACATCTATTTTAGTCAAATATATTTTGCATGGGGTATTCACTATGTATATATAAATTGTTCTAGATTGGGTAGCTAGTGCATGAATGTCTTGTAAATGGGGTAGCCACTATATAAATTCATTTTAGATTGAGTAGACAGTGTATGAACTTATTGTAAATAGGGTAGCCACTATATCAGCCTGTTTTAATTCATGAAATCGTAAAAACACAATTGTAAACAAATCTTATCAGATCCAACTAGCTAAGTGGTTAATACACTGGCCTGAAAGTTTTAAGACTCACTTGCCATGGGTTCAAGTCTCACCCATTCCCTGATTTTTTTCAACCTGTTCTTCACGCAGTATAACCACTGTATAAATATGCTACATTAGTAGGTACTATATTAACCCATTCTAATTGGAGTAGTCACTATGTAAATATCTTTTTATATGGGGTGACCTGTTCTACATGGGATAGCCATTATGTATAAATTTGTTCTACTTAGGGTACAGCCAATGTATAAACATATACATGTATAACATTGAGTACTGCAAGTGTACAATTTAAAGTTTTTTTTCATGGGGTTACATACCAATGGACAAAACTAAAATTAATGTGAGAGTAAAATATTACAGTATACAACAGAAAATAGCATGTTCAGCAGTGAAAAATTCTAACATTTAGCACAAACATACTTTTAGATTATTAGCCCTTTCATTGTCTAGACCCCCAAAATTAATATTGCTCTCAGTGTCCACATATATAAAAAAAAAAAAAGTTTTCTTCTGAAATGATAGAGAATCATTTTTTCTGAAGGTAATAACACCAAAAGTGTGAAATTTAATAGAAAGCTTACAGAATTACACAGGCACAAATTTAGCGTTCTGGGAACAATTTGCATATCAGCAATTTCACCCACTTTGAGTCCTATTTTAAGCCAAGTTCTTTGCTGTTTCACTAGATAAGATAAGATAAGATAAGATTTCGTTCGGATTTTTAACCCCGGAGGGTTAGCCACCCAGGATAACCCAAGAAAGTCAGTGCGTCATCGAGGACTGTCTAACTTATTTCCACTGGGGTCCTTAATCTTGACCCCAGGATGCGACCCACACCAGTCGACTAACACCCAGGTACCTATTTGCTGCTAGGTGAACAGGACAACAGGTGTAAGGAAATGTGTCGAAATGTTTCCACCCGCCGGGAATCGAACCCGGGCCCTCCGTGTGTGAAGCGGGATTGATTGATTGAGCACAAGTAACCTATTCAACTATCAGAACTATCCTATAATGTGCACAGTAGTCGGTAATTTGGTCACTTTTAAATGAAATTAAAAAAATTTAAATTTATGAATGGAGTTCACAATAAACACTGTAGACATTCCACACATGAAAACCTTTCCTCTGTTTGTTAATCAAATATTTGTATTCATTAACACAGGTAAGAGATGTGATGCACAAAGCTTTTTGGGACCAGCTGGCTGAACAGCTGTCTCAAGACCCGCCATGCTATGACCAGGCACTAGTTCTACTGCAGGAGGTTCGGGAAAACCTACTAGATATTACACTCCCCCATCACACTCGTCTCCGACAAGAAATTTCAGATACCCTTGATGTGGAGCTTATTAAACAGCAGACAGAGCATGGGGTACTTGATTTTAGCCAGTATGTATCTCATTATTATCCATTTTTAGTTTTTTTGTTCTGAAGAATAAAAACTTGAATATCTAAATATTATTCTAATAATATTTAAATTTTTTCATAAGTCCAAATATTATTTTACCAAAGAAAATGTAATCATTTCTATATTACAGTGGACCCCTTGTTTACGATATTTTTTCATTCCAGAAGTATGTTCAGGTGCCAGTACTGACCGAATTTGTTCCCATAAGGAATATTGTGAATTAGATTAGTCCATTTCAGACCCCCAAACATACACGTACAAACGCACTTACATAAATACACTTACATAATTGGTTGCATTGGGAGGTGATCGTTAAGTGGAGGTCCACTGTATTTTGTTCTAAATAAATTATTTAAAGAAATGTGTTAATGGATAAAAGTTCTATAATTTTGCTGAAGTGAAATGATGTCAGAAATTTCAAAGTGTTAAGGAAAGTAATGGGTTTATTTTTTCTTAGGTACTCTCAGTATGTACTTTCTATTATGGCTCGTCTATGTGCTCCCGTGCGAGATGAGACCATCCGAAATATGATGAGAGAAACTGATGCTGTGTTAGTGTTCCGTGGTGTGATGGAGACCCTGGACCTTATGCGCCTTGATATGGCCAACTTCACTATACAGCAAATTAGGCCCCATATTATTGCACAGGTAAATCTTCTTTTATTAAAATCCTGAGTTTTGCTTCAGTGTTATAATATCACTGAAATACATACTGTATATTGCTCTCATTCAAGCAAAATTATGAGAAAACTACAGTGGGTCCTCAAACTTCATTTCTAAAAACTTGTTTCATAAAGTGTAAAGTTCAGCCAATATTTGGGATGTCTCTTATTCTCTTAGTTGATTTTTTTGTCTTCATTGTGAATTGTAAATAAGACAATAAATTGGTTAGTCTTGATTGTCCAAAAATTTGTTGCTATGGGACAAGTGATCTATATTGTCGCTCACACACTTCCAGTTCCTTTGTTTTAAAGTGTATTGAATATTGCTTACCTGTCTCCAAGTAGGCTTCTCTAAACATAAACTAACATCTAGCATGTACCTCTTATGCCAACATAAGATCTACTGTGTATATTTCCTGTAATTTCTATACTTTTTGTACCCTTTATTCTAGGATAAGTCTTATTGTACACTGTAAGGTACAGTGTTGTTGGCTTTTTGATAATGCAAGACAGAAAGCACTATTTCATTGAATTTTTTTTTTAAAGTGATGTAATATTTGAACATTTTTTCCAGAGTGTGACTTATGAGAAAAGAAAGTTTGCAGAGTTTCTCAAGACGCAGAATGATGGTTTAGAGTTGACAAGAGCATGGCTGTTGAGCCATATTAGACCGGAAGACCTGGCTGTAACAGATGAGATGGCAATGAGGGGAGTTGTTAACTCTGTCATTACTCGATCGTACCTGGCACTCCTTTCCTGGCCTGATGAAAAAATATTACCAGAGGTACTTGTTAGACTGTGAAGCCAGAATTTGTTGCATTTGTATTTTAATTTTTTCAATCTTTAAACTTTTTTATTTAATCATGTTTCATTATTGTTGCACCAAACAGGCCAATAATTTGTTTTAAAAATGGACATAATTGTTAGAAAATTAGGTAGCATTTTTTTCATGTACAGGAGGGCCCTATTTTACAGCGTTCACTTTGCAGCATTTTGCTAATACATGTACAGTGGTTTTCAGTTATACCCATTCTTCATTTACTCAGACTTCCTACAATAAATATATTCACCACTCACTATAAGCTAGGAACAAAAATATTTTAAGGTAAGTAATGTGTGTACTGTATATGCATTTTTTTTAGGCATGTTTTCAGGCTTTAATATGCATTTGAAAGTGAAAAAAGGCTATGATTCACTTTAGAGCAGTACATTGGAACCTAATCTGCTGTATAAGTGGGACCCCTCCGGTATTTTGAAAATAATTCCCTTGGTTGTGCAAAGTTTTTGGGAAATCTAAAACAAAAACTTTAAGCTGCTTGACATCATATACAGTAAAACCTCAGTACTCAAACTTAATTCATTCCAGAAGGCTGTTTGAGTGCCGATCTGTTTGAGCATCGAACAAATTCTTCCCTACCAATTTTCTTTTTGGTTGACTGTTATCACTAATCTTTGTAGACCCAATGGTCATTTATTTATACAAATAATATAAAAAACACCAAAAAAATGCGAAGAAACACAAAAAAGTTTCCACCAAAGTTTTGGCATGTTGTGTTTGTTTGGTCGAGTGCTGAGCTTTGTTCGAGTACCGAGGTTCCACTGTAGTAATTGTAAGTAGATTATATCTGATTGCTGCATAGTCCATTGGTTAAAATGCATTCTATTAAGTTGTTGTTGCATTAACATGATTGCAAAATTGTGGCATATTTTATGTGAACATTCCATATTAATCAGTTTACATGATGGAATACATTTTTTAACACGCTGGCTGTCTCCTACAGAGGTAGGGTGACTCGAAAAAGAAGGAACACTTTTGTCACAAATCACTCCATTACTGTCTTGTCAGAGGTGCTGTGACATAACAGTTCGGATTACCCTCCAAACTGTCATATTCCCCAACTCTCCTTCAGAGTGCAGGCACTGCACTGCCCACCTCTAGGATTCAAGTCCTGCCAAAAAAAAAAAAAAAAATCTAACCTGGATTTTGAGTTAATTATTAAGTTAAGTTGAGTTGGGTTAATTTTTTTTACTAGAGAAAAAAATTTTCCCCATAGGCTCAAAATATATTTGTCTCCATTGCACAACCCATTTAATATTGTAAAATTTGCTTACTAAAAACTGAGCAAACAAAGTAAATATTGTATTAAACAAAACCTATAAAAAATTTATTTAACAATTTGTACACAAAACAATAATATCTGTTGCAAAACCTACTTATACTTTAAACTATGAATTATCATCTAACTCTGCCGAGCAGTTAAAGGTTAATACGTAGTGACCCTATAAATTTATATGTATTTTTTATCAGACTGTTGTGCTGGATGGAAGCAGAATACTGGAATTAAGAGATCGTCTAAGTCAAGTGTGCATTCTTGGTTCTGTGATCCTTGTAACTTTATCATCCGTGGGTCCCATGATCACCCAGCCTGATGCCTTCAAACTCAAACTGAAGCGTAATCTGTGCATAATATTGGATCCAGCATTATCTGACAAGTGAGTAATATTACAATGGAATGATGCAGTATATAGATGGTATTGTATGGCATGCCATAAACTCTATCATCTAAATTCTTATGATGCATGTACAGTTTGTTTATTAAGTGCTTATGTTTGTATACATGTCAGATCTTATATGCAAGATGCCAGAAATATTGCTAGAGGTGCTATTTTGTAACTGATTTATCCATTTCAGAGAGACTATGGCATTGATGGACAACATTGTAGAGCAGGTAGTTAAAGAAGTTGATGACCATCTTATAGAGCATGAGAAACCACCGCTCCCAGCATCAGCAAAGACAGCTTTAAAGTCCCAAGTTCTGGAGATTAAGAATCCAGATCATCGCATAAGATCATTAATATGTAAGTAACAATTAATGATGTACACTCTCAATTAATCATTTTGACTAAGTATGGCTTCTCCTCACTTAATGACAGAGTTTTGTTATTAAGACCACTATAATGGTAGTGGGTTTGTGTCAGTCATATTTGATATTGTTTTACTGTCACCTTTGCACCATTTATAACATTTTTAGTATATTTTTAAATATTAATACAGTAGTGTACTGTATATTGTAATTAACAGAATAGAGGAAATCAGCTCTAATATACATTACAGCCTCTCTTCACTTATCGGTGTACTCATTTACCAATGACTCAGACATACGACAGGCTCTCTGACCTGTATGCATACCTAAATAACGTATATTAGAGCTGATTTCCTCGATTCTTTTTATTACATTATACAGTACACTGCTGAGTAAACATTTAAAAATATACCAGAAATGTTATAAATGGTGCAAAGGTGACATCAAAACAATATCAGAGATGGCTGGCACAAACCCACTGCCATTATAGTATGCTCCTCAGCAACAAATTCATTTACCGACGTGATCTTAGGAACAGAACTCCATTGTTAAGTGAGGAGAGGCTGTATTTCGGCATGTATACTGGTCAGAGAGTCTGTCGTAAGTCCAAGGCATCATTAAACAAGTACGTTGCTAAGTGAGGAGAGGCTATATAAACCATAATTCAGCTGATAGTGAATGTGTTTATTTTTGGGTCAGCTTACCTTGGTCAGAAATTGCTTGCATTGAGGCCTGGTCACAGACCGGGCCGCGGGGGCGTTGACCCCCGGAACTCTCTCCAGGTAAACTCCAGGTAAAAATATATATAAGGTTTTCTTTAGGCGGCATGAAAGAGATGCCTTTTATCTTATGATCTGTTCATTCAGTTGCATATGCTATAATTTTACCCTTATTTCTATATTTATTGTCATTGTAGATTTTAGTATTGGTATTTGTGAATGCTCCAAAGTGAGTGAGGCTATATTGTTTAAGCTTGGATTGTTTTTAACACACCAGCTGTCTCCCACTGATGTAGAGTGACCCAAAAAAGAAGAAAAACTTTCACTATTTTTCACTCTTATTACTGTCCTGCCAGAGGCATGGCAATACTACAGTTCATATCCCCCTCCAAACTGCAAATATCCCCACCTCTCCTTCAGAGTGCAGGCATCTTATCTTTCCATCTCCAGGACTCAAGTCTGGCTAACTGGTGTTCCTGAATCCCTTCACAAAATGTTACTTTGCTCACACTCCAACAGCTTGTCAGGTCCCAAAACCATTTGCCTCCACTCACTCCTATCAAACATGCTCACAGGTGCCTGCTGGATGGCCAAGCCCCTTGCACACACAACCTTCTTTACCCTCCTCCCTTCAGCCTTTCCTAGGGCGACCCCTACCATGTCTTCCCTCCACTACAGATTTATACATCCTCCAAGTCATTTTATTTTTTTTTTTCTCCACCCTCTTTAAATGTCAAAACACCCTCAACAATCCCTCCTCAGTTCTCTGGATGATAATTTTAGTAAACCTGCACCTCCTCCTAATCTCCAAACTATAAATTCTCTGCATAATATTCAGACTATGTATTGTCCTCACACAAAACATCACTGTGTTTTGTGTTCTGGTCATGTCTACCTTACTGTTTACATTATTTTGCCCTTTTATTCCTTGTTAATGTTTTCCTAACTCATTTTTATTTGATATTCCCATCTGTTCTTTTAGCCCTTTAAATAATCTAAATTATTATTTTAAAATGCTGTATTAAATGCAACTTGTATTTTATAGAAAAAATTATATATGAATAAAGAAGATTTAGTCTATCCCCACTTGAATTTTTTAACAAAGTAATTTAAAATAAAATAAAAAATCAAACCTCCCCACTTAACAGCCACTTTCCACCCAGAATATTATTGTATCAGTTGACATCTCAAGTTATAACATGGACTATTGTCCATTTCATATCTAGGTTGCTGAGTGTCACTCACTTATATTTAGGAGCATTATCTTTTGGCTTGTATTAATTTCTGTGTAATTTTTGCAAAAATTTTTAATTTTTTTTTTTATTATTATCACACTGGCCGATTCCCACCAAGGCAGGGTGGCCCGAAAAAGAAAAACTTTCACCATCATTCACTCCATCACTGTCTTGCCAGAAGGGTGCTTTACACTACAGTTTTTAAACTGCAACATTAACACCCCTCCTTCAGAGTGCAGGCACTGTACTTCCCATCTCCAGGACTCAAGTCCGGCCTGCCGGTTTCCCTGAACCCCTTCATAAATGTTACTTTGCTCACACTCCAACAGCACGTCAAGTATTAAAAACCATTCGTCTCCATTCACTCCTATCAAACACGCTCACGCACGCCTGCTGAAGTCCAAGCCCCTCGCACACAAAACCTCCTTTACCCCCTCCTCCAACCTTTCCTAGGCCGACCCCTACCCCGCCTTCCTTCTACTACAGACTGATAACACTCTGAAGTCATTCTGTTTCGCTCATTCTCTCTACATGTCCGAACCACCTCAACAACCTTCCTCAGCCCTCTGGACAACAGTTTTGGTAATCCCGCACCTCCTCCTAACTTCCAAACTACGAATTCTCTGCATTATTCACACCACACATTGTCCTCAGACATGACATCTCCACTGCCTCCAGCCTTCTCCTCGCTGCAACATTCATCACCCATGCTTCACACCCATATAAGAGTGTTGGTAAAACTATACTCTCATACATTCCCCTCTTTGCCTCCAAGGACAAAGTTCTTTGTCTCCAACAGACTCCTAAGTGCACCACTCACCCTTTCCCCTCATCAATTCTATGATTCACCTCATCCTTCATAGACCCATCCGCTGACACGTCCACTCCCAAATATCTGAATACATTCACCTCCTCCATACTCTCTCCCTCCAATCTGATATCCAATCTTTCATCACCTAATATTTTTGTTATCCTCATAACCTTACTCTTTCCTGTATTCACTTTTAATTTTCTTCTTTTGCACACCCTACCAAATTCATCCACCAATCCTGCAACTTCTCTTCAGAATCTCCCAAGAGCACAGTGTCATCAGCAAAGAGCAACTGTGACAACTCCCACTTATGTGTGATTCCTTATCTTTTAACTCCACGCCTCTTGTCAAGACCCTCGCATTTACTTCTCTTACAACCCCATCTATAAATATATTAAACAACCACGGTGACATCACACATCCTTGTCTAAGGCCTACTTTTACTGGGAAATAATTTCCCTCTTTCCTATGTACTCTAACTTGAGCCTCACTATCCTCGTAAAAACTCTTCACTGCTTTCAGTAACCTACCTCCTACACCATACACCTGCAACATCTGCCACATTGCCCCCCTATCCGCCCTGTCATATGCCTTTTCCAAATCCATAAATGCCACAAAGACCTCTTTAGCCTTATCTAAATACTGTTCACTTATATGTTTCACTGTAAACACCTGGTCCACACACCCCCTACCTTTCCTAAAGCCTCCTTGTTCATCTGCTATCCTATTCTCAGTCTTACTTTTAATTCTTTCAATAATAACTCTACCATACACTTTACCAGGTATACTCAACAGACTTATCCCCCTATAATTTTTGCACTCTCTTTTGTCCCCTTTGCCTTTATACAAAGGAACTATGCATGCTCTCTGCCAATCCCTAGGTACCTTACCCTCTTCCATACATTTATTAAATAATTGCACCAACCACTCCAAAACTATATCCCCACCTGCTTTTAACATTTCTATCTTTATCCCATCAATCCTGGCTGCCTTACCCCCTTTCATTTTACCTACTGCCTCACGAACTTCCCCCACACTCACAACTGGCTCTTCCTCACTCCTACAAGATGTTATTCCTCCTTGCCCTATACACGAAATCACAGCTTCCCTATCTTCATCAACATTTAACAATTCCTCAAAATATTCCCTCCATCTTCCCAATACCTCTAACTCTCCATTTAATAACTCTCCTCTCCTATTTTTAACTGACAAATCCATTTGTTCTCCAGGCTTTCTTAACTTGTTAATCTCACTCCAAAACTTTTTCTTATTTTCAACAAAATTTGTTGAATTTTTAATATGTGCAATAAATTCCATACTAAATATAACAAATATATATACATTTTTTTTACAGTGAAGAGATCAATGGAGTTCCTTGGAATTCTGATGAGTTCAACTACTGCCCGGCCAGTCCAGATACCTCCTGGCCTCTCAAGCTTGCAGGAGGAACTAGCTCACATCTGTGGTACATTACTTCGACTTGTCACACACAACAGAAATGTGTTTGGCGAGTATTATGCAGATATAATAATGAATCATATAAAGGCTCACAAAGAACTCTCAGAAAGTGATGAGAAGAAAGTTGAAGAGGTAGAAGGTAATACTGAAGCTAGAAGTGAAGTTGATAAGTAAAAAAAAGTGTTGAAAATTACTCAAAGGAAATTTATTTCTAGCAGACTTCTCTGTTTGTCTATTACTGGGGAAACATGTTTGCAGTGTTACTTTTAAACTGTTAATTGTTGCTGAGGAGTTGGTTCATAAATGTGGGTGTATATATAAACTTTAGTGCAAAGTGCAGTGTTACAGAGAAACTTTTTAACCTATTAATATTAAATATTGTTCTCTTGTCAACAGAATCTGGCATCCAACGGAGTTTATCATTGTCTGGGATGCTGCTGTGGTTCTGTTACTTGTAGAAAAGTATACATATATGTGTGCATATGTATATATAGTATATACATGCATAATTTTTTTTTCTGCCTGTATTGTCATACATGGTTGCTGAAGTACAAGATAGAATGCACATATTGTAGTGGATTTATACACCTTTTGCAGTTTGCATCATTGATGTTTTCAAGGTCATGTTTTTCTAAGCATTCGTTGACAACCCTGTGATGATCAATATTTATTCCAGTGCAGAATTATCGAATAACTCCTATATAATCTTTATTGGTGTTTAACATTATTAACAAGCTATTATTTATCTTTTTTTGTTCCTGTATTTGGCTGTTTTTTCTTTATACACATCATCCATCTCCCACCAAGGTATGGTGACCTAATAAAAGAAAAACACATTCATATTTGTGCAGTAGCAGTCATGCCAGAGTGTGCAGACATCACAATTTATCCACCCTACCTTCAGAGTGAAGGCACCGAACTTCTCACCTCAAAGACTAACAGCACGTCATGCCATGATAACCACTTGTCTCCACCTGTACCTAACAGTCAAGTGTTGAAGTTAGTTTGGCCAAGGAAATTGAAAGGAAGAAGCTTTCGTACCTAAAATGGCCATTCGGTAAAATGTTTCTATTTATGAATGAATATAAAAACAAGAATAAGTGATATAAATACTTGTAGCTTTGGTATAATTAATTTTTTTTAAAGGGATAATAGTTTAGGATTTGTTTTTGTGTATGAAGGTCTCACTGCAAGGTCATGACTATTTTATTTTTATTCATGGGGAAGTGCTAAACCTATTAATAAGGGTCAAACACTGTCTGAGGAATGGAAGGCATTTGGATATGATTCAAGGACATAACTATGGCCAGTTTCAAGGGTCTATTCTCCCACAGCCCAACTTCAGGGGAACAGTAGCTCCAGTTCCTTGAACCAAGAGCCCTTTGACAGTATCAAGGCATCCTCCTTAAAAGGAGAATGAGAAAGAAAAGCAGATACAGTCCATTTTTAGAGAATCGGCACTGTCCATATTCTGTGACATGTTATGGTATTTTCCTTTTACCTTTAACTTTTTTGGAGAGGAAAAGAAAGTACGTAAATGGAAGAGCTGTTCCAGTTATTTTATCAGAGTATTATGGTCTCTCAACTACATGTGGGTCATCATGGCTGCAATCCACTTGTACACTAATATCAGTCATACATTAATCTCTAAGATAGAATTAAACTTATGTAAATACACAGGTACAACTGCTTATTGCAAAACAAGCTGAGCTCATATGGGTCATTCAAATATCCTTTATACTCCCGTTTAACATCTGCTACACATAAATGTAAGTTGTCAGTTTTCATACTATATACGTATTCGAAAAAATATGCTCCTACAGTACTAAACATAATTTAGCTAAAACTAATACATATACCATTTTAACAGTATTCTTTAAAGATACTTAATAATTTTTATGATGCATTAAATATGTTCACATCTTACAAGTTGTATTAGCTTAACAAATATTAGCTATTAAAATGGTAATAGGAGAGGTACAACAGATGGTTAATTTTGTTCATTTGTAACATAAAAAAGGGAGGATATTTACAGTACCATAGTTTTGTGAATTTAATTATATTCACAAAGTGCTAAATCATATGGGCCAGTGCTGTGGTTTGTGTACAATATCATTATGATCATTACACATTATCAGAAATAAGCACCAACCATTTTATGTATATTTGTATACATGTTAGAGAAGGACCTTTTGACAATTAATATCAGAAAATAAGGCAAACAAATTTAATTCGTAGTTAAAATATTATGATACTGTACACTATTTGTATTTTTGAATCTCATTCATAATGCTGTTAGTTCTTCCATTCGGTTATCACTTATCTAAAGGGATGTTCGACCTAGAACTAGCACATTCATGCCTTCTCTATTTATTTATCTTTTCTATTTTTTCTTGCACTGACCTTTTTAAAAGGAGCATGGGAGATGACGGCAAAGTTAAGAATTAAGATGATAATGATGGGGAAGAATTATTATTGCCGTATATTCACAAGCTGGATGACAAGATAGAAATGTATAGTACTGTAGTATATAAACAGAAGATGATGATTGTATATTGTAGTATTTTTAGATTCCTGTGAGTATTTCTACCCATGTAATGGGTGACATACTTTAATGCAATACTTTATGAGTAGATGAATCCTTTGTATTATTATATACTGAGTTCTGCAGGGAAACTCTTTGTAACTAATGTTGAATGTCTTTCATTTTGACAGATTACCACTTATATAACCTCATTATTATTATTATTAAATTCATGGGTGGAGCACTAAACCCCTAGGGGATCACACAGTATTGGGGGAAAGGAGAAGTAATGAAGTTTGATCTAAGGAAAGAGTGGATTGGCTCAATTCCTTGGATTAAGAGCCTTTCACCGGCATTAAGTGTCGTCCTTTGTGAAGATGTACAACCCCAGACAACTATATACAGTGGTACCTCAAGTTACAAACTTAATTCGTTCCAGAAGGCTGTTCAAGTGCTGGTACCGAATGAATTTGTTCCCATAAGGAATAATGTAAATTAGATTAGTCCTTCTCAGACCCCCAAAAATACACTTACAAAAGCACTTACAAAAATACACTTACCAAATTGTTCAAGTTGGGAGCTGTTTGAAACTCAAGGTACCACTGTATATTTAATTCTGTAATACTTTTGGAATGCGACATATAATTTTGTATTACTTTTGGAATGCGACATATAATTTTGTATTACTTTTGGAATGCGACATATAATTTTGTATTGGCCAGGTCTATGGTTATATTATTGGCTTCATGCATGTCGTATACCTGGAGAGGGTTTTGGGGGTCAGTGCCCCCACAGCCCAGTCTGAGACCAGGCCTCATATACCTGTACTTTTTAAAAGATGGTAAAATACTAGTTAAAACTAGTGGATGAAGCCTCAGGATCAACTATATTGAGTATTAGGAGGAATAGGAGGCAATTAGGTTCTGTCCAATTAAGGAAAATGTTGTGGGCAATTCCTTGGATCAAGAGCCCCTCACTAAGGAACCTCCCCTGGGGGATGATGGGGTATATTAGGAGTTGATAGCCAGTTGTAGGAATTGAGAATTCATTTGAGCATTGATAAATAAAATTTATCTGTTGTATACCATTATGCTGTATGCCCCTTTCAGGTTTAGGGGTTAACTTGATTATATTATTATTGTGTATAATTAACCAAATGTGCCTCCTACAAATGGCACGTGCTTACGTTATATTGCATATACATAACCATTTTTATAAATTCTCATTCAGAAACTCATAACAAGAGCTGGAAGTTTGGATTACCATTGCTTTTTACCCTGTGAGAAGTTGTAAAATTTTTTTACATGTAACCTTGAATTTGTTGAATAAGTATTTACTCCATGTGAGAAATATTAAAACCCATAGGGGTCATACAGCGCCTTAGGAAATAGGCAATCAGATTTGATCCGAGGAAAGAGAGAGTAGCTCTAAGTCTTTGGAATTAGAGCCCTTCATTGGCATTAAGGCATCTCCCTAGAAGGGTTTTGAATACATACCATATATACATTTCACTATACTTAAAATATTCTTTAAAGAGGGCAGTCATTTTGTATATTAAAAGAGGATTTTATATTGATGATGCCATATACAAGCATACTCCTGTAATAGATTGTAGTCAGTATTGTATGTCAAATGGTGTTTGATTAATGTGGAATGGAAAACACTAACGGTTCCTTCCATACCAGGGGATTTCCTTAATAACTGTACATAAATTTCCCTCTTATTTGGAATTATTCCAAATTCCAATAATCAGTTTGAATTATATTATTCTCCCATTCAGGATTTTTCTAAAGGACTGTTTTCCAAATTTTAAACCAGAAAATCTAATTCAAAACTTTTTGAATAACAGGTTGTGTTTTAATGATTTAAATTCAGAATGCTTTCTTATTCAGAAATTTGTGAAGAGCAAAAGTAACCGATGCATATCTCCAATTTAAATTTTTCTTGAGCAAGAGAAAAATTTTTGGGAAAAAAGTAGAAATCTGAATACTCTCAGTAAAAAAAAAAAAAAAAAAAAAAAAAGAGAGAGGGAACATAAAGAAAGTACATACATCTCAAAAAATTTAAGATGTGTATCATTTTGAATTTATTATGATTCAGAACCTCAACCCAAATTATTAATAAGAATACTCCTAATTATTATAATCATAACCATGGTTTTTGAAGAAGTGGACCACTTCTTTCTGATTATTATGATTAAGACCTGCATCAGGAAACACCTGTCCTGTTTCCTGACAAATTATACCTATACCTCTGTTTAAATTATTCGGAATGAGAGAAATTGCTGTACAGTATTGAGCTTTAAAAATGTTTAATCCATTTTGTTAAGTGATATCAGACTCACTCTTAAACATTATTTTTGCAGTACCCATTTACATTTATTGTAACTTATGAATGGTATATAAATTGAGCCATGGTTACTTTAATGTAAAGATAAATAATTAACATTCTAGTTTTAGATGTTATGCATTTTATGTAGATCTGGAATCCTGACTGCTTTTTTTAGGTTTAAATTACATTTTTTTAGTTAGCCAAAGATTTTAAATTTTTAAATCATGAACTTTTTCTTATCAGCCTACACTAACAAGATGAAAAGTGCATTGATATTTGTTGTTAGAATTATGCATTCGAGGAGTGGAGGGCATTTTAAGTTCTTAAAATGTTATAGTTATAACTAAATATTTACTATAATCACAATGAAATTGTATTGTTTGGCATAGAAAAGACATTGCACAAGAAGTTTCTAATGGGACATTCTGCTTGTATAGAGCTTGATAAAGCTCTGCACAGAGAAACATTATCCTGATAGTTTTAATTACTGGAGAGCACTAAACCTGTAAAGGTCATACAGTGCCTCGGAGGCATTCAGGTTCAATCCAAGGAAGGGGAGGATAAGGCTAGTTTCCTGGATCAAGAACCCTCTCACTGGCATCAAGGCATTTTAACTTTAAGGGGTGTCCCAATTAAAGCTTATTCTGCGGTGTGTTCTTTCCTTCATTATTGATGGCAGTACACTTTTTGGATCTGCTGTTTAGCATCTTGATGTTTATAGTACAGTATATTTGTGTGTACTTAAATTTGCAATACTCTAAAACATTGGCTTATAAGAAATTCAAAATGAAGCCTGTTCTGATTAAGTTCTCTAATAGAGAATGAATTTCATATCAAGATGAACACCATAAGTTAGGATGAAAAAGAAATAGCCTTTCAAATTAAGTAACTAAAGCAAATAGATTTCTTTCTGGTATTAAAATTATGAGGTGAACTAACCAGTAATCCTGGTTCATCCAACCTGAATGTTTACAAAAATATTAGGTTATAACTATCTCAAATCCTGTGATACAGCACAGTAAATTTTGTCTCAAGTACAGGTATTTGGGCAAAAGGGCAGTGTTGAAAGCTTAATGCGAGTATGTGTTTATTGCTTTACCAGCATACCCTGAATAGGCCACTATTATTCTCTACACAAGTTTTAGTGCTTCATTTTTTATTATAATAATCTCTGCACAAGTTCATTTGTTACATTACCCAAAATCTAGGGTAATGTAACTTACCTAGTATATATAATTATTATTATCATAAACTAAATGGTCTGCACTTAGTTTATATTGTCTTACAGCAACTGTCCAATCAAGAGAGAATCAGGTTTGATCAGAGGAAGAGGTAGCTCAAATTATTGGGAACAGCAGGGAATCCCACCTAAAAGTGTACCACCCACTTTTTAGTAATGGTATATTATGCAAGCTTAGAAAGTTTGCTAGTGACCACAATGTTGTAAATAAGTGGCTTATTCAAGGTACAGATTGGCTGTGTTGTCCTGTTTTTCATGTACTATATATAAAATGCTTTTGAAGTTTTTTAAGTTTAACCCTTTTAGATATTAACTCATTTTTTTTTTGTTATACTCATTTTTATATAGTAATATTTTGGGTACTTAGATATTTTGTAATTTATTAATCAAAGCACAGATAGAGTATGAACATTTGACAGAAGAGCATAATTTTTTAAAATTTTCTACGTTTTTCATACGGAAATAAGTCTTCAGCATGTTAATTATGGTAAACTATAAAAAATAGCTTACTAGTGTATAGTCAGCAAGATTGTAGACTAAAAAACATTTAAATATAGTATGCCTGATATATAAAACTGCACGTATGGTACTGTATATTTATCATAATGTCTGCTTGTCCCTTTCAAGCATAAATCTCATTGAAATAAATAAGTGAACTTTCTGATTTTTTTTGTTATTCCTACACATTATTTTAATGGGGAGTATAAAATTCATATACATCGGGAATTGGAGTGAATCCAGTTTGGTCTAAGGAAAGGATAAGTAAAATTGTACATGAATGGTATACAATACCGACAAGATGAAAATTTAGACACGTGCAACATCTGGGTATCTTTATTGAAGACGTTTTGCCATTCAGTGGCTTTATCAACACAAATCCAAGGACATGATTGGAAGACAGAAGTATATACAGAAGATGACGTAATCAGTCCCTCACCCTTGGAGTTGGTGTGAAGAGCACCATAGTCGTGAAGATTGGAGCACAGGCAAGAAGGCTGGCACTTACATACTGGCATTAGGTGGAAAAGGATGGGTAGCAGATAAGGGCATAATCACTGGTAGGCAGAATTCCTCAGTGGAAGTAGGTCATACCCAAGGGATAGGTTAGTAGTGTAGTAGCCGTGAAGGTTATGTAGACACAGTGGTGGCTTGTCCATAGGAGCTGCAGAGCTGTAGTCCCCTCAGATGCTCACTGCCAGACATAAGACTTCATTAACCTTACTCTAAAATAATTTGCAACTGACAAACATATTACAGGAAAAATCTGTTGTATGTTGTTTTTAATGTATATTTGTAAGTGAATTTTTTTTGTTGAAACAAGATAAAAAATTATTTAAAATAGAAGTTTGATGCAGTACAACAGTATAGGTATTACTGGTATTACATCTGGCAGCAAGGAGCTGCATTCAATGCAGCACACACCCAGTTGCAATCTGTCTGTTTACGTTGTGAGTATGTGTGTTGTAGCATGTGGCTGGTGTTGGTGGCCTTTTAAATTCTTTTCCATGGTGTTAAATTTAATGACCATTTGATAAATGATGGCAGTGGAAACTAGAGTAGACTCAGTTAAATATTTACAAAGTATTAACTTTTCACAGTTGATTTTAAGTGAAAAAGTAACGATAAAAGAAAAAGGACGACATACGCCAGTTTTATCCATTCTACAAAAAAGTACAAGCAGGAGCAAAGAATATATGTGCCAGTCTAGCTTCAATGTTAAATTTAATTACCATTTGATAAACGATGGCAGTGGAAACTAAAGTAAACTCAGTTAAATATTCAGAGTATTAAATTTTTGCAGTTGATTTTAAGTGAATAAGTAAAGATAAAAGAAAAAGGAGGACATACACCAGTTTTATCCATTCTACAAAAAAGTACAAACAGGAGCAAAGCATATACATACGTGCAGTCTAGCTTCAATGTTTACCAGAAAAGTGAATGCCTTTGTGGCTGTGACAAAAAGAATGCGTTATTCTATTTTCCATGCTTACTATTTGGTGACGACTCTTCATGGATAAAAAGTGGCATGACTGATTTGAGGCATTTACCACAAAAAGTAATGAAACACGAACAGTCAACCAAGCATATAACGTTAGTGATTCGTCTATGCTGGGTAAGTGAACATTGCAGCTCAAATTGATTCAGCATACAAGATTTCAATAGCAAAACAATTTCAAATAGTTGTAACATCACCTCAGCTAGCCATGTCTCCACCAGCAGGGCTGTGATGACCTCTACAGGTACAATACAACAGTTTTAATTTCTTTGCACATTTACATTGAGATTTTGTAGTTACAATAATGAGTTGCAGTGCAAAGAGCCACTATCATGCCATGGCATTATGGGAAGACTAAATTAATGCTTACAGACTACTTAATACTAGAGAAATTGATCGTAGTTTAAGTTGTACATCTGTTTTCATTTAAAGCAGACTAAGTTAACTCAAGTTACAATCTGTTGATATTGCATTGGGACAAT